TTAGCATATACTAAACAGTGTAAAGGGTTAATGACAGTTTTTCCTGCTTGAGTCAGGAAGGTGTGCAGATGGCTGAAGAGAGGTATTTTAAGTATCTTGAAGCACCTGCCTAGCTTTTTGTACTGGCACCCACTGGCTGGACTGGGACGGCCTGTATACTTTAAGTCAGGTACTCTTGGGGCTGCTCTGAACTTGAACCTATAGGTTTCACTGACTGAGTTTAGATGACTTTCATATCGGAAGCAGTAACAACCTGCAGCCTTTTATCTAAACAGAAAGACGTTATTTTCATTACAAGATACCTACTCTGTTACAATGCATTAGGAACAAATGGCTCCTGAAAGCACCTTCTGCAATCTGGGCACTGACCTGTTGCACTCACAAGTCATGGAAGAGAAATCAGCATCAGGTGAATGTGCACCCAGAAGTTAATGGCATTCACAGACAACATCATGGCTAAATTAAGGAGAACAAAAAGCTCTCCCTTTATACTGCAGTAAGAGAGTGGGTTCTAAAGTCATCTGTGTTGTATTTTAAGACTTTTAACTAACTGGATACTATCTTATGTTATTGATTTAATTAAGTGAAAAGTTAAAAATAGAACCTATTTTGCTATTTATACGCATTTATCTAGTATTTTTTTCACTGTTAATGAGCTACTCTCACTTTTCTGTAGTCACTTCATAGATGTACATCATCACAATTTCATTGCACTCATGAATGGGTTTTCTTAAAAACTAATATTTCTGGTTTTACTGGACAGAATAAATGTTTGGAATGGGAGTTCTTTTTGTTTTATTTTTTTATTACAGTGCCAATATCCTTCCTAGTGCCTGAGGAATAGAAGTAAAAAGAATGAAGTTTTTGGAGAGCCCTTCTAGTGACTGCATTAGCCCTACTGTTGTTCCACATTCTTGCAGAACATGCTATGCTGTAAATTTTCAGAGAGAATTACACTCAAAAGGGTGAGCAAGCCACTGCTTTCAATTTCTTAAATTCTCCTTTGCCAGAACTCTATATTGTTATTGCAATATACAGGAAGCCACGCATTTTTCTCTGTGTAAACTTTTAGTTGAACAGATTTTCTAATGCAGAGTGTTGCTTTAGAGGAGAGGCAAGGAGCATGGTCTCCCTCTACTACTATCAGAAGTATATCTTCCTTCCATCACTTGACATAGAAAGCAGGAAAAAGCATTTTTAAAGAAGTGGTATAGAGTTAAGTGGGAAAAGGAAATTATAGCGAGAGAGAGGTTTAGGAAATAATTAATTGTTTGCATTATAAAGTCAGAGCCAGTAACTGATCTCACTGCTGAGATTCACTTTGCTTACAGGAAGGAAAAAAAATTAATATTCTTCCCTATTCCAGTCATCTTCTTCCTTGTTTTGATTATTGTTTGTCACTTGCCAAGACATATTCTACTGGGGGTACTTTTACAGTTGCACTCCATTGTATTGGTCCTGCCTGCTCTAATTGCTGCCAGAATCTTCAACCAACACCCTTCAAAGCATCCAGCAGGCTGATAGAAACAACTTCAGATATCTGGCTCTCTACAAGTCCTTTCATCCCTTCCCTTATCTGGCTGTGGCTGCTCATCTAGCGCTATGACTCCTTTAGTTGTGTCTGGGATCTCTCTCCCACACACTGCTCTGGGTCTGGCTGCTCCCTTTGAGATGCAGCTGCCTTGTTTCCCCATTTTATTACAGCTGGTTGTTCCTCACTGATTGTTGCTCCTCGTGTTTTTCTTGCTGCACTCCCTCCTCTGATGCTGCAGCTCTCCAGGGCTATGATTCCTGCTGTCAGTTATTTCTAGTGTGAAAAGGCTGTCACGCTTTTTGCTTTGATTTAACAATCCTCAGATCCACTCTTGTGTTCAACAGGCTATATTTTCTACTGCTCTTGGGATATAAACACTTTTCCCATCATTGTGGGAGGACACTATCTCACTTCCAGCTGCACTAGGAAGACATATCCACTCTCTGATGTAACTTGAGAACCTTGAATCATCTACCAGTACCGTTTATTAATGAACTACAGCGACTTCACATTTTTCTCTACATATTTGTGACCGTAATGGAGGATAACGAGCTCCTATCTGAAGAATGACTAGTATGATGCTTTTAAAAGAGGCAAGCATTACCCTCAACAGCTTTAGTAGAAAAACATCATGTGCTGCCAGGCTGCACTCTGCTTATGGGATTACCTGAATGCCATTCTTCAGGTGTTTGTGTCACGTGCAATCACCGAGGACAAGAAAGTGGAAATGAAAAATATATTCAGCTCTGAAGCATTTAATTAGCACATTTGCAATGGTCATTTCTTTAGTGTACAGAAAGAAAAAGAGGTATATCTTTAAAATGACAGCTGAGTGTCTAAAAGAGATGGGCACTTTAATGGTGTCTAACTGATTTATGCCATCTTGATGACAGTACAGACAATGAAATGATAATGACATTCTATGACTGTCATTTCACTGAACAAAAATTAGATGGGGAAAGTTTCATCATTTCAATATCATGTAGAAAACTGTGAAAAGAGAAAAGAGATCATATGGACAATCCAAAGTCTCGGGGAGCACAAGATGGACATTTAAAAAAAAATTAAAGAGAATGAAAAACAAAATTCCAAAATGTAGGGGAAAGATACTGCACAACAGTGGTACAATGCTAAAAGACATTTGATTTAAGGCAGTTGAAAAGTCCTCACTGATGGTCCTGATTCAAAGTTTACTAGAGTCACCAGAAAAAAACTTCCAAGAACTTAATACTTTACAGTCATTTAAAAGATCAGTCAACAGACAACCAAAAAGTTATTTCAGAAACACCAGTAGTACTATCCCTTCCAGCAGGGCTCATTGTGTAAGGAGGACTTTGAGGCACCTGAAAATATTTAAGCACATACCTGACCAGGTGAAAGCCTTCAGTATAATTTTACAGTTTGGATTTTATATTGGCAGACACTAGAGAGCTAGAAGAATAGGCAAATATTGTAGATATCTAATAAATGAGTTTAATTTCCATAGTTGAAATGTAAGCAACGCATGCATGCATACCAGGTTACATAGGAGTGAAACAATGGAAGATGTAAAATATCTTAAATTTGGTCTAATTTATCCTCAGACAGAAACAGCGTCAGGTCTTTGGAGGAAGGTATAGAAACAATGAAAAGAGCAGCTACAAAGTCAAATCAGGAAAGTTTCTTCCTATTAGATTTTGCTTGTGTCTAAACCAAAAGGATGAATTACTACAGAAACTAGCAGAAAGACAAACCATTAGACAGGAAAATGAGTGAAAGAGTGGGTATTTTAACCTCTTCACCTATGCAAGTATGTAAGTAAATTCTTCCATTGCCATTCCCCAAGGTGGTTTGCCAGATCTGGTAACTGGGTTCAAAATTTACAGGATCATGCCTTTCTATGAATACATTCAGTGTCACCTAAGGTCTGGGAGGTGGCCATCAGAGAAGCTGAGTGGAGATGCTGCTCTATCCACTGGGCATGGCCCCTGTTACACTAGAAAAGGAACAAGGACACAAGACAGAAATTGTTCTGTAATCTGCACAGAAAACAGACTTATTAGCCTGCATGAAATAGCTAACAGTACACAGATCTGTCCTACTGTCCTATTTTGTCATTTCAATGTAAATTAAAATTACTTAACATTTGCAAAGTGTTCATAAGATGAAGTGTTAAGTATTACTGTTAACTGTGTGATATTACTATGATCATATTAATTAGAAAAATAATTAGCTTGAAATATTAAGATATTGATGTGAGATAAGCCTCTGAACCTACCCAGGTTCACCAGCAAACATATAATTGAAACATTTAAACAATGAGAACATTCAGTAGGCTAAGAGCTGCTGGCTATTATAGCTTAATTGACCAAGAACGATGTTTTCAAAGCTAGCCAAGGGATTTTTGAAAATGTTACTTGGGCTCTTGAGCGACTCCAATCTTTTAAAACCTTTCCCTAAGTATTTTTGGTTTGTATATTACATTGTAGACCTATTACATGGTCATGTACACACATACACTCTTGCCCATTCTAAAAGGCATAAGATCCTTATCCAGAGGATCAAGGTGAAGTTATTGCTGTCTAGGAATAACTGATGACTAAAAGAGAGGATATACCTCTTTTTTAGTCTAGAATGAGCACTGGACAAACCGGAGGTTCAGTCACCATGTCAGTGCTATGTTGCTGCTGTCTTGCTACAGTCTGTTGTTAGGCAGCTAATGATGCAGAAGAAAAGATTATCAGATGCAAAGGTGATAGTCAAATGACTCTTGTCATTGGAAAGCTCCCTACGGGAAGGCTGCAGGCAGTAGCAGAGAATAAGCATGTAGTATAATGGAAACCACCAGCTTTCAGGCCACAGGATAACAGCAAGCCCACTCATGTGATGGAGGAGGGGAAAGTGTGCAGCCCTCTCACTTCTGCACAGAAGCTGTTCAGTCCAAAAACTGGCCAAAAGACTTTCTATTCATTGAAATAAAATTGGAAATTGCCTGAATCTAATACATATTCCTTTGCCAACCCAGGAGGCAGTTTCTCCATTCTCACTGTTCAGCAATGACTTGAGTTTTCACAAGCTGACAGAAAAATTCTTGTGCATAGAAAAAACAGAAAAAAAATTTAGCTTTAGCCCTTGACAAGTTTTCTAGAGAGTTTCAATAGGATAAAGACGTCCTTATGCTTTTTAAAGTATCTAGCACAATTCAGACAGTGTCACAAAATAAATAGTAATAAGAAGCACTAGATCTTCTTGCTGGATTCTGACAGCCTCTCAAGTTTATTTATAATATTTAATAACACTTGGTATGTTGAATGGCTAAAATCACTACAATATATTCCAAATATATTCCACATAAATTGGTTTTCCAAGTAGTAGCCACTGTAGTGTATGTAGTTTTACAGCAGTATTTGTTTTACAGATGGAATATGATCTTCTGATAGCTACATATCTATATTATAAAAAGATAGATAAGTTTAATTAGTCTCACCTTTTTATAGGCAATCCAGTCAAACACCCTGTCAATGTCTGTGGCTTGCTGCACCTCCTGGGATACTGGATGTGAACTGGCCAACCCATCCAGCAACATCACTTCATGTAGGACATCTGTCAGAAATCTCTGCTTTTCCTGAAATACAGCATATGCAGTAGTATCACAGACAAATACACATTTACAGCAATACCAAAATGATGCACAGATATCAGAGATGGCTGACTAAAATCAGACCTTCTGGTTTGAACGTAAAACCACCATGACCTCCTACAAATAGAATAAGTATACAGAATAGGTTCAGACAAGAAATTTTGCTGCAATGAAACGACTGAAATTAAACAAATCAAAATATATCTGGAGGTGCAGAATGCAATGTTGAATATGACTTTTCATTCACAGTTAAAAAGGGTGGGGAGAGAGGCAAAATGGCACAGTCTTCAATCACAAAAAGAGATGGATGTTACAAGTCATTGAGCTCATTGCATAGGCAGGTACGAAAAATTTTGAAGAGGTAGGTAAATACAATTACTACTGCTTTATTTAGCCAAGTTTAAGTTACTTGGCTCTTAGTGCCAAGTTCACATTGCAGGTCAACATGGGACAGGACAATGAATAGAGCTCACAGTAGTGACACAGCAGATGCCTGCACTGTCTTTCATAATTCTGATATAGAAATCCTTTCTCCACAAGAGCCTGAGTCCTATACAAACTTTGTAACTTCCACTTGAAGGAAACCATTATTATCTCTCTTTACAAGTGGAAAAACAGCTGCATGTACAAGTTAAATGACATAGTCAAGGTCACATCAGAGGCAGGTGCAAACCCAGAAAACATACAACATACGAATTTGTTTCTATACCTTCTGTAAGTACTGATTGCAGATTGTATGTCAAAACTGTGCCTATTCACTCTGGCAGCAACATTAATGAAACATTCCTGTATGCTCTATGAACTGTGCTCCACTCATTATTACAGCACAAGTAGATGGGGCTTTTTCAGCTGAGAAATGACACAGCTTAAAAACTCCTCATATTGCATTCATGTAGATGTCCGTAATCCAAAACACTGTGTCAAGAAGAGCTTCATTTACTTTCTTTTTCAAGTCACAAATAAATGCAAAGAGTTAATGAAAAACTATGGAAAGTGTAAATGAGATTTTTTTCACCCTGAAATGATGTATCTCAAACCTTATCTAAATTTTAACAGCTCCCGAATTAACGTCAACCTAGTGCCATAATACAAAGAAACTCTAAGGAATGCTGCATTTTTTTCAAAAGCCACCTTGATGTCCTCAGATAAAATAACCATGCAATTATATAATAAATTCTATGTTTAATTTCTTGTGTGGTAAGGTTTTGGTATCAATGTGTTAATTTAAATTATTTTTGTAAGACAGTCAAAAAGCTCTTCCAGCGCTGATCCATCTGGAAATAAACCTTTATGTTAAAATTCATTAGAGCACAAGAAATGTACATTAGAACACAAGAAATGTACCTTGAGCTGACTGTATATTCAGGCAATTAAAAACACAGGATGCAGGAAAGCCAATTACCTAACACACTCTCAGTGTTCTCAGCTGGCTGCATGAGGTAAGGTTTGTGAAGGGAAAAGCAATGTCTTGTTCGTTAATTTCCAAATTTTCTCAGGCATATGCAGATAGTAATTGCCCTTTTTTAATGGGAAAAAAAAATGTAGGGAAATAATTATTATGACAGTCCTACTCAGCGGAAAACTGCAGAGCTGTAAAGGATGGTAGACAGTTTGGTTACACTTCACTCTCATTCTCCATTAGTCAGTAACAAAGTCCCAGTTTCATCAGATGTATGATATCATAGAATCACAGAATGTGCTGAGTTGGAAGGGACCCACAAGGATCATTGAGTCCAACTCTTAGCCCTGCACAGCATCATCCCCACGAGTCACACCATGTGCCTGAGAGTATCATCCAAATGCTTCTTGAACTCTGTCAGCCTTGGTGCTGTGATCACTGCCCTCGGGAGCCTGTTACAGTACCCAACCAAAAGGTGAAGAATCTCTTTCTAATATCCAACCTAAACCTCCCCTGACACAACTTCAGGCCATTCCCTCGAGTCTTGTCACTCATCACCACAGAGAAGAGATCAGTGCCCACCCCTCTTCTTCCCCTCACAAGGAACTTGTAGACTGCTGTGAGGTCTCCCATAAGTCTCATCCAGGCTGAACAGATCAAGTGACCTCAGCCACTCCTCACATGCCTCCCCTCAAGGCCCTTCACCATCCTCACTGCCTTCCTTCAGACACTCTCTAATAGCTTCATATCTTTCTTATATTGTGGTGCCCAAAACTGCACACAATATTCAAGGTAAGGCTGCCCCAGTGCAGAGCAGAGCGGGACAATCTCATCCCTCAACCAGCTGGCGATGTTTTGCCTGATGCCCCCAGGACACAGTTGACCCTCCTGGCTCCAGGGCACACCGCATACCTGCATACCTGTATGTTACCCACACAGGTGTAAGCATGCAGAGGTATGGACCTGTCTCCAAATTCAAGTTTGGATATCACAATTGACAAACAGTTGCATGAATGGATTGTTACTGTTCGGAATTAACTCATTAAAAGGACGCTGGATAATCACAAATTAATACCTAAATATAGAGCCTGGAATCAAGAAAATGAGCACATGAGAAACATAAAGTGAAGATTTAAGAAATAAAATACAAAACATACAGAAAGGACAGGCTGCATTTTCATTTTCTGTTTGTTTCTTTGGTTATGTCCTGCAGAACTGAAAACAAGCATTTTAGACTCGTGATTGTTCATTCAAGTTACAACAGCTGAAAAGTCTTTCCTGAAATTTATGGCAGACCATCAAACTGGGATACAGACAGAATAGTTAGTGTGCCTCCAAAAATGCAACCCTACAGTTTAGTGAGAATTAAGAAGTCTTTTGACCTTTAAAGTTAAATTTATTGAACTAAAAGGATTTCCAAAACATTCCCACCTTTTCTCTTTAGTACAAAGCCTCTGAGAACAAATTTGAAAATGACACTCAAATATACTTCCAGGGGGCACAGAGACAGTTTGCTGGTTAACAAGGGGCCTGCAGTTTGAAGAGGCAACAGGAGGCAGAAATGTAGAAAGAAACTAAAACTGCCTTAATTTTATTGCAGAAACACTACCTCAGCTGTTGAAGTCCTGGCATCATATTAAGGGGAAAAGGCTAACACATGTGACCAAACTGCTTATACTGATAGAAGAGGGTCTTTCTATTCCCTAGTTATCTTACCCTATGCAGTACAGTGGAATTGATCTCTTTTAACTAATACCTACAGGAGTAAACAAACCCCTAGCATAGAAATTGTAAAGGAAATCAATCTTGGAATGTGTTTAATGAGACCAGCAAGATGTCAAGATGATAGGTGACAGGTCTGCAGCTACACATGAAATAATGACAGAATGTCGTTCAAGATAACTGTCCATTGAGGGAGTTCAACTGCAAGAGAAAAGCCAAAGACTGTGATCCACCCATAAGGAAAAGAGGCTTCAGGTGAGTCTTGCAGCCAGGCTTGGAGAGTGTTGGTAGCCGCACGTAAGTGCAATGTTATGCAATGTTAACAGAGGGCCAAGGGGTCTGAGCAGGAGTTGGTATTGCAGCACAGAAGCCAAGTTTGAAATAAGGACAGACCTGCTTCCACACAAATTTGAGCCTTCATTTAAAGGCAAAGAGGAAGCATCTCTGCTCCCTATCTTCCTACTGCACACTTTGAGTCCCAACTCTTCATCTCCTCTCCTCAGAGGTTTCCTTGAACTGTGTACAGTCAGTGTCTGGGACACCAGACCTGTGTTCAGAAGAAAAGACATGTCAATTATTTCCAGTTGCTTTCCGTCTTTCTCTGTAGAATGCTTCCAGGTGCAGACACTGAAGTGTTGTTATCAGATGAACATGTCTTTCAAATATTTACATTTTCTGACTATTTTTCAAACATCTGTGGTCACTAGATTCAAGTATTTATAACTTCATAGGAATGACTTCTTCCAACACTTGCCAATAAGACCTCCTCTGCTTTGTACAGGGTTTTCCTGAAAGGCTTATCCTTTCTCTGTGCTCTCTCCTCCTTAGTCAACATTTCAATTCACCTTGTTCTAGGGAGAAAGGTTTACAGAAAGGTAGTGGTCACTCTTTGTGTATTCATCTCCAATAAGGTGCCCACCATTCAACTCTAAATGGAGAGAAAGCAATTGTGAAATAATGTTTTTGGCAGAAAAGACTGTACCTTCAAGAGACATTAAAAATTTATTGTGCATAACAGGATAACAATGATGTAATGGAGAGGGGTTATTGCTGCTGATTTTACAATATCATATCGAGGCATAATGTAAGAGTACAAGTTAGCATGACAATAATGTAATACTTAAGTCACATAAAAATCATTTCTAAAAATTAATATGAAATACCAGGTAAAAGAACTAAAATGGAAAAAAAAAAAAAGGAAAACATCCACTAGCGAAATAAAAGGAACAGCATAATGAAAGCCAAAACTGATAATTAGCATGCAGAAGAGATCAAAGGCCTCAGTATTAAAAGCATCGCCTTTGTTCTGGGACAGCCATTTGAACACATTATAGACTGAGAAATCTATATGAATAAAGCTTAACATCAGTGTGCAAATCTGCAAATGATTTTCCTGACAAATTTTCTGAAAATATCTTCTTCAAAATTTAGAGCTTTACTAGCCATCAAGAATACAAAGGAGTTAAGTGATCTTTAATGCCTGAGAAAACAAGCATTTGCAAGACACAAGCCTTGGGTTTATAGAGAAAGTGCCCCCTAAGGAAAAAGAAATAGAGGCAAATTTTGAAAGCTATCAGAGAACACTCAACACCACAAGCAGTTGAGTTCTAATAAAATATATTTCAGGGTGAAGCTGAACAAACCAGAGGAATATCATCTATGAGGAAACCTAGGGTTCAATAAAATACATTAAGGCCAGATAAGATCCACTGAGGGCCAAAAGCAAGTTCTTTCTGTCTACATGCTTATAAATCCTAAGTTGTCATAACACATTCTCTCAAGTACTTGCAAAGGAAAGCAATGTTTCTTTCTCTCTTCACAACAGTAACTTTGTAAATACCTTGAGCAGCTTACAGACTGCTTT